AAAGCAGTGACTAGGGAGGAGTGGCTAGGCCTTGTAAAACGGGTCACCAATACCTGATGACCATCACCAGTCTGAAGCTGCAGCGAAAAAGAAGCTAGAAAAAAAAAGAAGTTATGGTTATAATATCATTAAAAACATTTATAAATTATTAACGGCAAAATATTATGTCATACCATGTCAAAAAAGCGCTAATAGCCTAATGGTTAATGGTACGGATTTCCGATCACAAGGTCGGGGGTTCGAATCCCGCCATTCGACTACTGTCGTAAACCATATCCTATAACAAGCCTAGAGCTTAGTTGGAATGGTAAAAGAAATATTAGTAAATTTATAAAATAAATCTGCTTATATTAAAAAAAAAAATTGTCAGTTTTATAGACACTTAACACTTGGTCTTTATGACACTTCTAGTGCCAAGCTTGGTCTTTGTATGGACTGATAAGGAAAAGTCCCGTGACAATTCTACTCATTTAATTTGACCTTAGGTCACTCATGTTTACATAAACAACTTATAAGTTAATCTTCATAAGTCACGTGCGCTTAAATTGATAAATAGATTTATTGTGAAACTAGCGGTGGCCCGCGACTCCGTTCGCGCGTAATTAAATAAAAAACTTATTCAGTAGCCTATGTGTTCTTCCAGACTATATTCTACATCTATGTCAAATTTCAGCGATATTCATACAGCCGTTCTGAACTTTGTAACAAACTTTCAAACGTCTATCAATCCAAACATTCGATTTTATAATATTTGTAAGATATTAGTGAGATATATAAAAAATTCAAAACTATGTGTGAAGTCAACCAACCCGCACTTGGCCAGCGTGATTGACTATGGCCTAGTCAACCTTAACTTAGGGTAGGCTCCGAGCCCGATGCGTTGGAGGAACAGAGGGGTTTAGTGGGTATGCCTCTGCTATGGAGGAGAATCCCACATAACTACCGCGTCCCCCCCGGGGCGCGGAGTATGCATAAAGCATTCCCCTCTGCAAAAAAAGCTTCCGAGCCTCTCAGTGGGGACATATAGTGAGTTCGTGATGAATTATTGAGATTAAATAGACATCACGCCTACTATCAACGCCAAAATTACAGAAATCAAATAGGCACAAAATACTACATACTAGCCAGTCCATTTATAAAAAAAATTGAGATATTTGTGAATATTTTTATATCTATTAGATGTAAAAGTTTATTTAAAAAATTAGAAAGTGTATGAGGAACGTTTACTGAAGGATGTCGATCGTTGCATTATTCATTTTCATTTTCTTGAAACCTCTCCGGCAACCGATCGAATGGATTCTTTTATTCATTTATTACAATTCAGTATTTACAATACACTTAAGTAATTGTCTTTGTAAAGTGTATTGTGTTCATAAGATTTAACACCAAAGACTATATTTTATTTTTATTAAACTCCCATTGCGATAAATTTAGTAACTACATGACTTATTACTGTAATATTGGTATTAGTAATATTAAGGCTAAATTTAGTCCTCTTTCCCTTCCCAACATTTTTCTTATAAGGAAAGGATGGGAAGTGGAAGTAGACTTTCCGGTTGAGAGGATGCATGGAAAGGGAAAATTTTTCTTTTCCTCTCCTCCGCCGATTAAAGGTAGGCAACGCATATGCAATTGCGTATGTCTATGGGCAACAGTCACTTCGCTATTTCAAAGATTTCCGGTGACCGTATGATATAAAAAAATATTACAGCAGTGGTAGACGATAGCAACCACAATATCTGTTGCAATACCAGGACTAGACAGAAGACAGAAAGTCGTGAAGTGGAAGTAGGCATGAAGTGGAACTAGACGTGAACTGCAATTGCGGATGTTAATGACCAGGGGTCGCTTTGCTTCTTTGGTGAATTCCGGTGCCAGCTCGTTCGATTGCCAACTTATAATATAAAAAAAATGTTTAGTTTCTATTAAGGCATACAACAATAAACAAAAAAAAACTAAAAGTTTTTACACCCCTCTTTGTTATATGTTTACTAATTTGGATTCCACTGCCGTTAATGTGAAAGATATGAAGACCGATGACTATTTGTTGTACATGTGTTTTGGCAGTGGAAGTCCACGGTAATAAAAACTTGATACTGATTGTGATAAATCTTTTCTTTGCAATCCCGTGAGAAAATAAAATATGTCTAAAATCAAAATTTACTTTCAACTAACCCACTTTAATTGGCACGGCTCGCCTCATAATTCAAGGGAAACAAACTCACTTGAATTATGACAGTTTAGGGATTCCAAATTTGTTTTGTAAAGAAGATAATATTAATTTTATAAGCTTGAAGGCAAAAAAATAAGCTCACAAATTGTGTACATTAAAGTACTCTTTTAAAATACGAAATATTTGCTTTGTTTAGTCGCTGAAAACAATTGCACTAAAAAAACTTCTTAATCGATATTATCAACTCTTTTATCGATAAGGAATGTTTTTATTTTTTTAGTAATATTTAATATTGAAATTAAACTAAGCTGGTAAAGTATTAATCGCACACGAGCTGTCCGTGTGGTATAAAAAAATAGTAGCCTGTGTGTTCCAGACTATGTTCTACATCTATGCCAAATTTCATCCAAATACGTTCAGCCATGTTGCTATCTTCTAATAAACATCCACTCCATCCATACATCCAAACATTCGCATTTATAATATTAGTAAGAGTATGACATTTCTCATCGTCCTTTCCCCGACCTTGTATGTATGAAAGTTCCATCATTCTTAATTTCAATCATTTTCTTCTTGTTCATGTTACCTTTTAACCAATTCAATTATACATACTAAAAATCGTTTTATATTTACAAACGTTAACGCTGTAGTTATCGGAGCAAACTTCAAAGGCTTTTGAAGTGAAAAGTCAGACACTTTGTGTTCTTTTCAAGTTACATTTATTGAACGAATAACATTTTCAGTAGCTACGCTGTGTAGCATTTCTTTGAGCTTTACTGCCTATCGTATAAATTGGAATAAAGAAAGGAAGACAGCGCTATATCATCTTCTCTCTCATATTACATGGGGTAGGCAAAACAGGTTTTCGCCTTAAAAATGAACTGTCATTCGACATTTCGTTTATCACTTTCTTTTGATACAATACAATGTCTTTTAAGGTCTATCTGAATTTGTTCTCCCATATCTTGCTTAATGCGAATGTTTGGATGGATAGATGTTGGAAGGTATCTCCATAACGATTCAACAAGTCTCAACGAAATTTGACACAGATGTAGACCATAATCTGGAAGATGTGCTGATGGAGTAGCGGGCGACAGCTAGTATTTAATATGTTCGATATTCTGCTTGTCATAAAAGAATCACTCTATGTTAATAAATGTACGTATGAAAAGAATGAATTTAACTCAAGACATAGTAAATCGACTTCTAAGAAAGTATCAGTTTAGTCTCTTGTGGGTACGAATTTTAGAGTTTCGAGTGAAATTTACGGGCAGCCTTGCTTGTTTATTTACGATACAAACGTGATTTAGGATCCCACTCCAGTTGCCTCAAGGGATTTAATATTATGTATGTGTTTCTTGAATATGACACGTGACGAAAAGACTTTATTTTTAAAGAGATTTTAAAATGGCCTATCCTAAAGTTTTGTAATTTTTCCTTGTATGCCCTACACTTGTTTTTATTTCATTTATCTTTTTTTGAGATGATAACGTCAAATAAATAGCGTACATTCACGCTGGGTGAACCAAAAACATGGCTGTCACGTTCCGACTGAACTGAGCGTGCAAGCGGGAGCATGGAACAAGCGATAGAGAAGCACTATCGACCCAAGCGGCTCACGTTCATTTTTTGTGACTGAGTAGTCACTGTTTGCCTTAAAGAGGCATTTACAGCTTCACTGGGCTTGAGGTGGCCGGGCGCAGATGTCGCTTAGCCTGAACTTCGTTTAAGAGTAACAGGACTCGAGGGCTCCCTCAGCTTCGGCTCGGGCTATTACTTCGTTATTGTTACCGGATTGGGAGGCCACCGAGCTCTTAGATCGCTTAGGTGAACGCTCCATAGAGTGATTGGGTTCAAGGGCCCCCGAGAGGGGACCTCGGCCTGGGTTGTCATTCTTTACGCGTTTAGCATTCCGATTCAAGGATGCCCGATAGGGGTTCAAGTTCAGACGTTTATGTCGTTTTTATCGAGATCAGTTTCATACACTATTGAAATTCGAACGTTTGTACTTTGTCTTTGTCCATTAACTACGAATGATAAGATTACGACTAAGTTGTCATAGTATTGAGCGAAATTGCGTGAAGACAATTTTATACAGTAGGCAGTGTATGTTTATAAATGGTGTTCGTATACGTTGCGTATTCGTATGCGCCGCTGTAAGGCCCGAGGTTACGTTTATAGCCATGCATTATTCAGTTTCATTACTTGGAAACTCTTCAGGCAGGCAATCGAATGGGCTGCTTTATTTATTACTATCCATTTCTTATTTATAAAAGACGGAATTCTTGAGATACACTGACGTATTTGTAACATTTTTCCAAGGTCAGGAAGGTGAAGTTTTTGCAGGTGTAAATTGTCATTGGTAATATAATGGTATTATATAATGATGATAAGAAAGGTAATGATAATTAAAATAAGCCTTATGATTAAAATTTATCTATGTAAACGACCAAAATATTTAGATAGCTCAGCAGATTCGCAAAAGAATTCGTACCCATATTGAACGAGCATATTGAACATATTGAACGAAATATAAAGAGCAAAGGTATTAAACTGATATATAAACACGGCTAAACATTTACGTATATTCGTCCGGTGGCGGCACCGACTAGTTTCGAGCCCATTGGGGGCCCTTCATCAGGATGAGTGGTACTGGTATTATTTCGCGGACGTGGCCCGTCGGCCGTCGGCCACTGAGCGACGGGCCGCGTCCGCGACGAATATACGTAAGTGTTTAGCCGTGTTTATATATCAGTTTAGTATAATGTCTCACGAAAGTTTGAATAATTTAATAGCAAAGGTATTGATTATTAATGAAAAATATAAATATTGTGTTATATATGTTTATTGTACTATATTAAAATATTAATTAAATAATCATAAGTTAAATATCTTAAAAGAATCTGGTGAAGGAAAGACCACCACTGGGCTCCCATCTGCTGTTGGGTATATACGGGGAAACAGACTTGCTCCAGCCTGCGTTTAGGTCCAGCGAGGAACTGCGGTCCTTGAACAGGTTCAGGTTACCCATCGCTGAGTAGTCGGTCTTCTTGAAAAGGTCCGTATGTGCTGCGCCTAGGGATGCTCCAATTTTGTCACTGGAACAAATCATTATCATAAGCAACTACCAACAAACACTTTAGGGTGTTCAAGAATCCTTTACTAGGGGGAAAATGGAGATATACAATGTATGCGAACATTATTATCCATCGCAGAATTATAAAGAAGGTGTCTGTCATATGAAGGTTGTTGTAAATTTTTAATTACACTAATATTATAAATGTGAATGTTTGGATGGATGTTTGTATCTCCGGAATGGCTAAACGGATCTCTCTCTCTAAAATTTGGCATAGATGTAAAACATAGTCTGCAAGAACACATAGGCTACTTAATATGGTTTTTAACAATGCGTGGACTGAGTCGTGGGCGACAGCTAGTCATTGCAAAGATTCTTTGATATGAATTCTAGTACACTTACTTGAATGTGTATCCAACTTTACCGCCGTATGTGTCAAATGTGGGAAAGTTGGGTTTGTCTGGGAAAGTTCTTGTAGCGAAGGCATTAGCGGTGATATCATGATGGTCATTGTGGAATAGATTTGCTTTGCCAGCTGCGGTCAGCTGGTCGGCAACGCCGGGGATGCGGCTTGCAGTTAATGTTGCTCCATGACCCTTACTGTAACAAAAGAAAAAACAGGTTGAATTTGGTTCATTTGCCATCACTATCAGCTTGTTAGTCCACTGTGTTAGGAAGAAAATCGGACATTTTGCCGGTGTATCGGCAGCCTTATTAAAATATCAACGTTTGTGTCCCCTTACTAGTCAATCTGACACTTGACTTGGTAACGAAAGCGCGCTTTCGCTCCAAATGATTGTAATATTAACTAAAAACTGTAAGATAAAAGTCCTTAGAGATTTGATTTCTTGGAACTCTATAAATTTCTTGCTACTTTGTACCATATTCATTTCCTAATAATGTATTTCTGAGTTTTAGATAGTGATGTGGTTTGTGTTTTACACTTTAATTTGCTTAAAAGTAGAATAATTTATGTTTTTTTTGCTTTGAAAAAATATTAGCAGATTTTGTGAATTTTTAATACCATTCCAACTAAGCTCTAGGCTTGTGCTAGGATATGGTTTACGACAATAGTCAAATGGCGATATTCGAACTCTCGACCACGTGATCTGATATCCGTATTCTTAACCTTAGGCTATTGGCGCTTTGAAATAACAGTGTTCTTACATATTGTCCCAAGCCAAACCACCTCCAGCTGAGCCGAAACCTCCTTTTCCATTCGCTCCGTTGACTGACCCGATAGCACTCAACACATTGCTATCACCTCGAGCTATTGGTATCTTTGCGGCTACATTTGAACTGCCATCTGGGTTTGAGTTTATACTACCATGTGCCTGTCTTCTAACTCTTTGTGGATGTACTTCTGTTATAGATACTGGTTCTGATGAGTCATCTACTAAAGCGTAGACTAACATGTCATCATCTTCTTCAACTAGTACGTAAGATCCTATTCTTTCTTTTGGCACACTTCTACTGCTTGCTCCTATCATTATGGCGGCAATTACGAATATTTTAAGTGAATACATTTTTAAGAATTGTTTTTTCTTCTACAAACTTGGTAACTGTTCGTACAATTTGCTATGACTGATGATCGGACAAATATTGCAAGACATATTTATAGTTTGCAAGCGCTGGTCGATTTAATTCCCCGATGACCTTTTGACCGTAGAATGACACTTAGTTTCACTAGATGTGGCATGTTTTTTTTTAATACAATAATCAAGTGTTATAAGACGAATATTCTTTTTATATTGGAATAAAATTACTTTTTATTTAATTGATTAATATTTTTTTTAATTTAATGTAAATAAATTACTTTTTAGTTTTTTTCTGATACATAGATTTGTTATTATGTGTGAAGTCAAGTATAACACCATAGTAAATTATTGACCTTGATAAAATTATATTAAATAAACTCTTGACGTTTTTCGTATAGTCACTTCTAGATAAAATTAAGCAATGTTTGAATTGCAAAGAGAAATCCCCGCGATAAGAAATTGACAAAGATACATATGTGAATGATCTCATACTGTAATTATCGTATTAATGTTTGATTCGAGTTTTAATTAGTACGCTCTATTGGTAAAGTACCGCGCTCGGATTCAAAAGACCAAATATTTTTCGGAGAGGTAACTTTTTGGCGCGTAAAATTGGCAGGATTTATTTATGACGTCAAAGATACTTTTAGTGTTTTTATATATAGTTAAAGGTATTTAAACGTCAAGGTGATGAGATAAAAATTAAATTTCATGTTTTAAAATATTAATTAAAAGAACATTGAAATGTAAATATTTAATTTTAACACACTTATTAGCTTTGCCTTTATCTATATGTATGTAATAAAAATTAATTATGGAACTCAAATTTCAGACCTCAAGACATACATCAAGACATCACAGTAATTTGGAAGTATACAAAATCAAAAACAACCATTTATTAAAGTAACTAAACTCCAGCTATGAGCTAGAATCATCTGAATACCTAAAACTAAAAACACACTTTTGTAATATAGTATACTTTAGTAAGTTTTCATACTTATAATTTCCAGAGCGTCGGTGTCTCAGTGGTAAAGCACTTGACTTGTAATCTGCAGGTCCAGGGTTCAAATCCCGCCATGTACCAATGTGTTTTTCGATTTATATATGTACATTTATTCTACGTTTCTTACGCTGAAGAAAAACATGGCGATGTAACCTGCAGATATCAGCAAATTTCAAAGATATGTGAATTTCCGGGAGTAAAAGACTCTGCTCGCCACCCGTCATGTTCCGTCACCCGAAATGGCGAAAAGTGAATTGTGGAGGGTTATCTGGCCTTGCCAAATAGAGATCCGTGATCTCTGAATAGGTTATAGGCGAGTGTCGTGATTACTCTATAAACATATTCACCTAACATATAGATATTGGTTAGGTTATATGCACGAATTATTTATGGGCCGTTGATTTACTGTAATCTATTTGCAATAAATTTACGCTAGGCACAGTCGGATGCAGTATCAAGATATATGGTATATACATACACAAATACAATTCATTTAACATATAAATATATATTTGCCATACATATACGTAGTATATTAACTGGCGTAGAGATTTCGTAGCAAGCTACATATGGTAGCGCCCACGAAATTCCGCTGATGAGTAACTGCACAAGGATATATTTTTATCACTGTTATTTTTTATAGAAAAAGAGAAGGATGATATATTTTTGAACCAGATCTTAATAAATACTTATAATAATAATTGAGTTTATTTTCTTCGATATCGAGAGACCGTATCGATCAATTTAAAATAAGGAAAAGGTTTTTGGTAATTCTTCAACATCTTGTCATGTCATAAAAGACTCTACATTAAAAAAAAAAACTTGTTACGTAACCTATATGTTCTTTAAGACTGTGTTTTACATCTGTACCAAATGTTATCGAAATCAAACATTCGCATTTATAATATTAGTAACATGAGATGTAAGAATTAAAGTTAAATATAAACGTGTTCGCGAATTAATACCAGTCCCACAAACCCTGAAGAAGGGCTCTCGAAGGGCTCGAAACTATTCGGTGCCGCCACCGGACGAATATACTGAGAGTTTAGCTGTTTTTATATAAGTTTATTATAAAGTTATACGCAAATTTGAATAATTTAAAAGTTAAAATTATTAAGATAAAGATATAAATTAAATAGTAAATTGCTAATTTTATCTTATCTTATCTTATATTAAATTAAATAGATACAACATGAATAAAATATCTTTTATTATAGTTATTTATGTATTGTGAATTTATTTACAATACGTATTGTTGAAATATTAACAATGTCATTTTACTATTCAATATTATATTTGTTATGAACTATGTTTAAGGAAACGTAACATAACGCATGCATACAATACGATATCTGTTTGTTTACATTACAAGTCGCGCGACTCGGGGAATCCTCTAACAACATTGATCAACTCTTCACTGGAAACGACATCACAAAAAAAAGACAGTATAAGTTCCTATTTAAGAAAAATTATTATAATAACATATTGTAACATTTATTATCTTTGTAAAAATAAAGACAAAAGACTTTGTAATAAAGTTGAGGCAATTTCACGGTTAATTTTAAATTGCAAGGAAACTTGTTAAGTTACACGGATTTATAATTTAATTAGCGAATTGTTTATAATAAAATAAAATAAATACTGAATGGTAGAAACGATAATTGTTATATCAGTGAATCAACTTATTTTTTAATATAACAAAAAAAACTGGTCTTTTTCTGAGGCCAAAATCTCTATATGAAATATATCGTCATCTCTGTCATTATATTTGACAAAACAGAGATAACAATATGTTTTGAAGTAAGATTAATTCACGGTTACATTATCCGTTTTCGACAGTGTTTTAGGATTGTGGGAAATTCGTAATATCCTATTTCTTTGTATTACCCACTAGAGTTCTTTAATATCTTTTGTTTATAATTTACATATAGAAATGATAATTTTAATTACGTGAAGTCACTTCTAGTTAATCTTACTTCATGTTACGATGTCAAAGGTGCAACGGGGAAGAACTCAACCCAGCATAGAGATGTATAAATATGTTAGATTTGTTGGTGAGATTATCAGTTGCTTCGTTGACATCGAAGAGTTCAGTAGAATAGTGTGAAGTAAAAGTTAATTAAAAACAAAAAATGTTCACATCAAAAGTCTTCGTCTTTGCGATGTTATTAATCAGCGTCAGCTGTAGATACTTAAATGAAGACCAAAGGCCGTATCTAGTCATTGAAGATGATGACAGCATTAGAATATTTGCTTTGGAAGATGAAGCTGATGATGAAGTGGAAGAATTGCATCCAGTTAGAGTTAGAAGACAAGCACATGGCAACATCAACACAAACCCAGATGGAAGTTCTAACGTTGCTGCGAAGATACCAATAGCCCGAGGTGACAGTAATGTTTTGAGCGCTATAGGTTCAGTTAATGCCGCTGACGGCAAGGGAGGATTCGGCTCAGCTGGTGCTGGCTTGGCTTGGGATAACATGTAAGTAGATTTATCAGCTTATTTTTAATAAACGGCCTTAAAAATGTAAAGAATCAGATCACAGACATGACTTGTGTGAAATGCCCCAAGAATTTTTTCAACATACGTTGAAACAATGTAGAAAAGATTTAAAACCCCAGTAGTTGAATATTAACAGCGTTCAAAATTAAAAGATTAAGTCCCTTCTAGTTCATGATTTCGGTGCAATTGACTCAAAATATATGTCTTTTGTTACAGTAAGGGCCATGGAGCAACTTTAACCGGTAGCCGCATCCCCGGGGTTGCCGATCAGCTGACTGCAAGCGGCAAGGCTAACATCTTCCACAACGACAAGCACGATCTCACCGCCAGTGCATTCGCCACAAGAACTTTCCCAGACAAACCGAACTTCCCTACTTTCGATACTTATGGCGGAAAAGTTGGATACATGTACAAGTGAGTGGTTTTAAAATATTTCAAGCAATCTATAATGATTGCCAATTAATACTCTTCTTGTTCTTCTTCGTTACAGTCTTTTCAGACTGGTCGTGGTAGACTACCAACTAAAATATGGTATTTAAATTCCTACGTTTTTTCTTACCAATTTATCAAGAATTCTTTAATTTTTTTTTAATTACAATTTTCTTTTTAACAAAATGTTCTTTTTTCTACATCGTCTTTGTCTTCATCTATGAAAGTCTTTTAAGTGTTGGTAGTTACTTATGATAATTTATGATTCCAGTGACAAGATCGGAGCAACCCTGGGAGCAGCACACACAGATCTATTCAAGAAGACCGACTACTCAGCAATGGGTAACCTAAACCTGTTCAAGGATCGCACCTCCTCCTTGGACTTGAACGCGGGCTGGAGCAAGTCCGTCTCCCCTTACTTACCCAGCAATAGATGGGAGCCCAGTGGTGGTATTTCTTTCACCAGATTCTTCTAAGCAAGAAGACTAAAGTAATTAAGTGTTGTTTATTGTAGATTTTTTGTAAATAAATAGATATGTAGTTATTTTTGACTCTCATTTATTTTTGTGTTCACCAATCATAGCCTTTCTAGAAAATTTGATTTTTGACAAAGGCTAGTCATAGATCATTAAGTATCTTTTACCAGCTAATAATATTAAATGTTAAGACTAGAAAGCACTTTTATGTATCTGTTGAAGTTATTCTTCTGTTTTTTTATTCCTAAAGTGATTATTACAATAGATTTTATAAATGCGAATGTTTAGATGGATGGATGGATGTGTTTTTTAAAGGGATCTCCGGAAACGCTCAATGGATTTTGATGAACTTTGGCACACATGTAGAACATAGTCTGGAAGAACACATAAGCTACTTATAAGGGTTTTTTGATTCTGCGCAAACGGAGTCGCGGGCGACAGCTTCGGTGTTGAACATTAAAAAGAAATATTTAACTGAACGTCGCAGATTTGGAGCATTTAAATATAGAGCCGTAACAATATTCAGAGTAATTTACATAATCTGTAGCACTTTATCTGATTTTCCGCCGAGCTTGGTTTACGTAGATTAAGAGACAGTATTTTCATTTTTATAATGGATTAATATTCAAATAATAAATTTTGTTTATTGCTTTTAAGATAATATTTATTATAAAATTGCTATTATACTTTAGAATGCCTTTGTTTGTTGTTATTAAGATGTTTTTTTTATATCATAAGGTGGCAAACGAGTGAGCGGCTACCTGAAATCGCTGAAATAGCGAAGTGACCGTTGCCCATGGACAAACGCAATTGCATATGCGTTGCCTACCTTTAATCGACGGAGGAGAGGATGCACAGAAAGAAAATATTTTCCCTTTACATGCATCCTCTCATCCGGAAAGTCCATTTCCAATTCCCATCCTTTCCTTATAGGAAAAAGGGTGGGAAGTGAAAGAGGACTAAATGAGGCTTCCGGGACGCACACTCATCAGACGAAACGCGGAATCGCTTCCACTTTACGCCTGTATTCTATGTGGTCGGGGTATTTCTCCGGGCGAGCCGGGCCAATTCGTGCGAAGATGTTAAGGCGGGCTCTACCACTGTTAAAATGATCTACTACTGTTAAATTATTTTGAACTGGCTATCAACCGCAACTCCGTCCATACGGAATTAAAAAGAAACGTAATAAGTAACCTATGTATCCTTCCAGACTATGTCCTACATTTACTTCAAATTTCAGCAAGATCCTTTGAGCTGTTCCGGAGATACATCCATCCATCTAAGCATTCGCATTTATAATATTAGTAAGAAGTAAAATTGAATGCTAATACAATTGTTAATATTTTAAAGTATATATACAAAATTAGACTTCGTATACTATAAAAGAGTAGAACTGCTTGTAATTTGTAGAAACTTCTCACAAAACTCTGTGCGTATTATTTTAATAGCAAAACTTGTGGGCGCTTTAACTTTGATTATCGCAATCCTCATGAATCTACCCGCACCAAGTTGGAGCAATGTCAATTACAGAGACGGATTTAAACAATGTTTTGTACAGAACTTTTAAAGTTAAATTCAATGAAATTATCTATCATATATTCAGCTGTTTAACTTGAAAAAATGTAATAAAATATGCAATTGCGACTATCATTTAAAAGGTAAGCAGACATTTGAATACTACTCTTATTGCTCTATAATGTACAATTAAACTTTTCTTTGATCACTAGTACTTCATCGTCATCATCAGCTCACTATACGTCCCCACTGAAGGGCTTGGAGCCTACCCTAAGTAAGGGGTGAGTAGGCCATAGTCAACCACGCTGGTCAAGTACGGGTTGGTTGACTACACACATATCTTTGAATTTCTTCTCAGATATGTTCAAGTTGCACACAATTACAATGTTTTCCTTCACCGTAAGAATATCGGATAAATGTACATATGTAAATCGGAAATCGAAAAACACATTGGTACATGGCGGGATTCCAACCTGCAGATTGCAAGTCAAGTGCTTGACCCCTGAGCCACCGACGCTCTAGTAAGTACTTCATATATTTCCTTTTTTTTCATTCTCAAGGTCGATTTCCACTGTAAAAACATTATTACAAAATCGTAGCCTAATCAGTGTTATTTTCGTTAAAAAAGCTGTTATAATAACGTAATTAACTAATAAAAAGTTTGGGTTTTTCAAATCTTAGTTTATTACTAACAATGAAGCTATTCAGTCGATACGTATCTAAGATATATTTATATAGGATGTTATATTTGTGTGACAGACACATTAAAAGGTTTAATGACGTTTTTAGGGCACCATCTATCACCTCGGACCCTTTTAATGTCCACTACACGCGGGCGGAATGATACATTGCGGTATAATGGCGGGAACATATAATTTTATATCAACATATACAAAAGATATACAACACAATCTCATAATATGTTAGAAATTAAATTGTAAGTAAAGTTGTGGAATTAAAATGAAAAATTTCGAGCAAGAGCGTCGGTGGCTCACGGTACAAGCCCTCGACTTGCAATTTGCAGGTCCTAGGTTCGAATCTCGCCATGTACTAATGTGTTTTTCGATTTCCGATTTACATATGTACATTTATCCGACGTTCTTACTGTGAACATAATCATCTTGATGAAACCTGCATATATCTGCGAATAGATTCAAAGATATGTGTGAAAACCTACACGGGACCAGTGTATTAACTAAGACCTAGTCATTCCTAACTTAGGGTAGGCTCCGAGACCTTCAGGACGCATAGGAGATGATGAAAAAGTAGTCTATATTCTTCTTCTATAATTCATATTAATATTTGAAAGTAACATTCGCTTAGTCAATATTCGTATGCACGGAGGAAACTAATATGTTAAGTAAGGAAGTAATTTAGTTCGCTACGCGCACCAATCTCACGGTTCGCTTCGTACCCTGATGGTTTCTGTATCGAACTGTTAACTAACCAACATATATGTCGTATGTTTATCTTGTATATCAGTACGTCATATATTATCTACATAGTCTATGTTTGCTGAAGATTAAATTGATCACATGTCTTACTGCTGGACGGGGTCCGTGAAATAATACCAGTCCGACTTACCCTGACGAAAGGCTCCCGATGGACTAGAAACTAATCGGTGCCACCGGACGGACATAATTGAATGTTTTAGAATTTTTTGTATAAGTTTAAGATAATGGCTCGCGTACGTTTTAATAATTTAAACGTATATTACAGTAAATTGTGAAATTAAAGAATCATTGATAATTTGATGTAGAAAGGAAAGTACTCCATTTTCATGGATTCATGTACGTCTTATGTTTTCAATATTAAGTTTATTATTTGGATTTTAGTTTAAAATCTGTTTCAAAATATTTGCGAATTTCTTTCGTTCTTTCTTTCTTTCTTTTTTTCTTTATGCTTTATTGTACACATATGTAGCTTATACAACACAATAAATTTACCATATTAACAAAAATTGTAATTTAATTTTTATTATTGTTAACAACATTAGTTTCATAAAGGAATTTAAAACGTTTCGTTGCGCAGTAATTCTTAAGTTAATATTCAAACTTATTTTTACCAAGAAACACATTATAAAGTACAAGTCGGAAGTTAAGGAGACTTCAACTCTTCCTTCGTTAAGCTAAAAACTCTTTGCTGCGATCTTCAAACGACCACTTGAAAAAATTGTAAACCAACCAACGAAAAAGTTTTTGCATAAAACTTTCTAGTGTAGCAATTTAGTTTATTCAAAGGGATTGAAATGAAAACGAAACAAAATTCTTGATCCTTGGTAACTTGAAGTATTTTAAGTTTAAGGAGGTTTAAAACTAGCTGTTAAGTGCTACTTTTCTAATATTAAAGTGTGTCTAAATCAGAATTTTTATAAACAATTCTTATTTAATGTTTAAGTATAAGATATAGAAGACAATGTGTTTTAACACTTTCAATGCTACAATTTTCTCGTATAAAACTGAACTCGCGAGACCATTCATGTGTTGATAAAAGTTAAACAGCTGTGAAAACCTACCGTTATGTATGTAACATGACAACGTTGCGTATACAAAATGCAAGTCTTCAACATCCTTGTCATTTGAATGGCAGTAGCAAAACATATAACTCCTAGCCTACCTACATGTCTCCCAACACAAAGGAACCAGCCAATTACATCTACTCAAAACTGACGTATCTACTTCACGCAGCTATTATGACATTATGGTACTTGTTTTCTCCAATTAAGCAAAAAAGCTTTACTTATTGAAGTAACGACCTTGTACAGTTGTTAAAGGAACGAAAATATACAGCCTTACTATAAAAAAATAGACAATATTTCAAATACATTTTACAACAAACAAACCAACCTTTTACCGTGACCTGTAACGTTCGACGATTGATTTTTTACAAATCCTATCCTATCTACAAATCCTATTTTCATCATCATCAGCTCACTATACGTCCCCACCGAGGTGCTCGGTGCCTACACTAAGTTAAGGATGATTAGGCCATAGTCAACCGCGCTGGCCAAGTGCGGGTTGGTTGACTTTACACATATCTTTAAATTTCTTCTCAGATATGTGCAGGTTGCATCACGATGTTTTCCTTCACCGTAAGAACGTCGGATAAATGTACATATGTTAATCGGAAATCGAAAAACACATTGGTACATGGCGGGATTCGAACCCAGGACCCGCAGATTGCAAGTCAAGTGCTTGACCACTGAGCCACCGACGCTCTTTTCTTCTTTTCATAGCTGTAAAATATATATTAGGACATTTAATTAATGTAGATTACATAAAGCGCTCTAAATGCTTTCAAAACGCGTATCTGTTCCCGAAAAGCTAATTACAAACAAACGGATTACAATTCACAAACGGCGCAAGGACAAGCAAATAATTGCATGCCTTTAATTGACTTTGAGTACTTTGCCAAAGGATTCGCGTATTGACTTTAAACGGATACGAACGGGTTTCATTTTGTGTGTTACACATACTCTTTTGTATTACATTTTTTAATTCAGAAATTAATACTTTATGTTGGTTTATTGTCCCGATAATTTTGTATTCAACAT